GCACTGTACCAAATGTTATGCTGGGTGCAAGCACCTCATGGCAGTTTCCACAAGCCAAGTGTTGGTGTAGCATGTGGTAAGCTTCTAAAATAACATGCAACGCAGGGTGAGTTCAGGATGCAGCGTTACACGTGCCAAGCAGGGCATGGCTCCGCTGGTCAGGGCGCCTTCTTCAGAGCAAAGCCTCTGATCAGAAAGCTGCAGGCATTCACTTGGGGGTAAGTCTGCAGCTTTGGTTACCACGGGGCAGAGGAGGGATAAGAAAGGGGCCACCACCAATTTCGTGTTTGTTGCCACCTGCTGTGTGTTTGCTGACCAGGGGACTACAACAGTAAACGGCAGCACAGATTCCGGTCAAAGCTGTGCTCATTTTTGGTACAGAGATGCCACTGCACATTAGGTATGCTGGGAAGGTGTCTTTGCTTGCCACTCAAAAATTAAAGCCGTGCATGCTAATGAGCACACTAGCAATACCTGATCTACCAGTATTTTTCCCTGCTAGATGAACGGCAGTATGGTATGGGAGCAAGAGGCCTGTATAAAACCTAGAGCCTGCTCCGATCCTTTGTACCCTCTTCCTACATAGCAAATATGGACCAAAACATTCACAGCAGCAGCATCGATTCCGTATGCTCTGTCTTTTAAGAGGCTCCCAACCTATAGTTCCCATAGGTGTAGCTGTCCCTGAAGATCTGGCCAGTCCTGATATCACACGAGGCTGGAGTAGAACTTTTTGCTCAGCCCAGAGTTGCTCGGATGGGCTCTGGGAAAGGAAACCCCAATTCCTGTTCCCATGGGAGCAGGGAGTGCTGGGCCAGGCTGCCACCAGGCACTCCATTTTCCTTGTGACAGGACAAGGGGCAATGGTTTTAAACTGAAACAGGGCAGGTTTAGACTGGATATAAGGAAGAAATTATTTACAACGAGGGTGGTAAAACACTGGAACGGGTTGCCCAGAGAGGTAGTGGAGGCCCCATCCTGGAAACATTCAAGGCCAGGTTGGACGGGGCTCTGAGCAACCTGATCTAGTTAGCGATGTCCCTGCTCCTGCAGGGGGGTTGGCCTAGATGACCTCTAGGGGTCCCTTCCAACCCAAAACATTCTATGATTCTATGATTCTATGAAATGGAAAACCAGCTCATGCCTTGAGGACAGAATACCCATTTTTCCAACACATAACTGGTGAGCATGCTGGAGACCAGCGATTATAACCCCATCTTGAAGTACTGCTAAAAGGGTGAGTTTAAGGCAGGCAAGTCGCACCAGGCAGAGCAGAACTGCACACTGTACACCTGCGAATCCCCCAGGCAATTTTTTGAATTAGAGTGATCTCTTACACAGCTTCCACCCTACTACGTGTTTCTTATTTTTCAAACATGCATTTGAGAAAATCACAATCTGGTTTTAAATATCTGGGGGGAAAAAATAACCATAAAAAGCCTCCAAAAACCCAAATGCCAAATTCATTTTGAGGTACTTCCCACCCTCCACTATCCATCTACTTTACCCATGGTCCCATTCATTACCCCGTAATTTTTACCCAAGTGACATCAAGAGGCGAATCCAGCCTCCCTGCCCAGCCATGGGACAAGTGTCTCTTGCCAGGAGCTGGCAGTGTGTTTGAGTGCCCCATCAAACCCCACCACAAGTGGGGTCGCAGCCTTTAGGGCTGCTGAAGGCTCTGCCAAAGCTGCTGCAGACCCAGGGCACAAGGCTTCACACTGGGAAGAGATGCTGGTGGCAGAACATGTACCCCATAAAAAATAGAGAGGACCAAAGTATTACTTCTTGGGCCCCCAACTTAACTTGTTCAATTGCGTCCATTTTTTTTGTATAAGATTTCCAGAGGACAGGGGACAGACATTACCAGGTGTCCTTACCCACACAATGAAAGTGAACCAGAACTTGAACTCCCAGCTAAGCCATTCCCACCGCTGGTGGCTCAGACAGCGGCCGTACAAAAGAATTTAAGGTCATTCATGAGAAGCAGGGCATGCGCTCAGCCCCCCACTTTCTGCCTGTCTTCCAAACCAGGAGCACTGCATGGACGGGGAGCTACCAGCACAAAATGAGTGGGCGACACTAGCAGACATGCCTTCACCATAGCAGAAGTGAGAGGGTTGTCAGGCTCTGGAATGGGCTGCCCAGGGAGGTGCTAGAGTCCTCATCCCTGGAGGTATTTAAAAGAAGGATAGATGAGGTGCTTAGGGACATGGTTTAGTGGTGATGGCAGGGTTAGGTTAACGGTTGGACTCGATGATCTCAGAGGTCTTTTCCAACCAAAGTGATTCTATGATTCTATGATTCTATGATTCTATGAAATGCAGAGTTTTAAGGGATTTTTGAAGAGCATGAGTTTGTGCTTTCCCTGATTAGAAAATGCATGAAAAAATACATCTTTGGGGGCTCTTCTAAGACAGAAGGGAAGAAGGTTCATAACGGCACTTATGTGAATCCCAAATTTTAAAACACGTCTAAGATGAGTGAGTGGGAATAAAACCTGTTCTGGTGAGCCCTGCTCCTCAGGTATTCCCATTTGCTGTTATCAGGGAAATCAGTCTATTGAAGGGGAAGCAATTCTCCCATTTGGAGTGTGAAGCATGACATACCCCACTCTTAAATCACTTATATTTCACTTTTTTATGATGCAATCGTGAATTAGCTTTTTCTGCATTTGTAATTAGAGGAGAGAACAGATGGTCAGGGCTTAGTTCAGGGTAAGAAATCCATTAAGATAGCCTACAGAAAGCTGCTGCTACAGCGGTTGCTGCCAAATAACTGTTCATTCAATGCTTTGTTCAGGCTTTGGGCGCTGGGTGGAAGGAGAACCATCACAGTTCCTCCACAAACCTCATCGCCTTGAGGTACGAGGGATAAGAACTCACACACAAGTTTGGGGAATGTATTATTACCGTCCATGTGGCTCAAGGAACTTGGATGGTATGATATAGGGGATTCATGGGGCAATCCAAGGAAACAGCCTGGAGCTGTTTCTTCCCAACAGCTGCCCCGGCAGATACACTCACTGCATCCCACAGTGCGTGTCTGCTTTTCAAAGTTGATGAAATTCAGCTGAACAGGTGGCCCGACTGCAGAGCAAAGCTTTCTGTCAAGGAGTGATTGCAAAATACCCATTTCTCTTTGAATTCATGTCTTCACTCATTTTGCAAGAAAGTCCTCAAAGCATTTAGAATCCCAGAATAATTTATGCTCAACAGGACTTATGGAGGGATTTGGTCTAATCCAATTTCAAATATTTGTCACAGTGGGCCAAACATGTAGGTCCCTTCCAACTGGAATTATTCTGTTCTATTCTATTCTATTCTATTCTATTCTAATTTCATCCTTAGACTCCAGCAGAAAGCTCCTGCTTAAGCTAGTCCACAAATATGACCTATTTTTTCCTAAAAACAGAGGTTGAAATAATTAGGTATCCTATAGTTTATGATTATCAAAAAGATATCTTAAACCATAAAGCAAAAAAGGCAAGAAGTTGTGTGTTCGTTATTTCTGATGATGTCTTTGACCTGAATCACATCAGCCTACTCTACCAATGAATCTCAGCAGAATCTGTGGGTTAGCTTCAGGGAGGTTCAGATCAGCATTCAGTCTGCCTGTGCATCTGGAAACGAGCAAAACCCTTTTCCAAGATGCCTTGGCACTTCTGCTACTCATAATTTTTGCTGAAATCCCTTTCTGTCATTGGAATTCAGCACCAGAGCATTTCTGCATATCTTTGGATAGCGTTTCTTTGTGGAAGCAGTATCTCCATATACCAGGACCTGGGAGTTTCATCACATCTGAGCAGCTAGAAACCAGCTGTGGAGCTGTATAAAGTCTGTTAGAGGAGAGGGAAGGCTCTGCTGAGGGAGGATGAGGAGTTCCTGCCATCATCTCCTACAAAAGGAGTGAGGCTTTCTGTGGGGAAAATGGAACTCTCCACAGACACAACCTGCCCACCAAAGTGCTCATGCTGGTCCCCCTTTCCTCATTCTCCGGGGACCTGGGCACATAGTACCGCTACATATGACTGGTCCAAGCCAAATTCATGTATGCTGAGCTCCCATATGTTTCAACAGGAATGTCCCATAGGAGGGGACACACATTAGGTACGATGAAATGAGCAGAGGAAAACTAATTGCATACAAATGCATATAAAATAAAAATACTACTATTTCAGTGTTTTCTTCCATGCGTAGTAACGTCAAGGGGCTTTATTAACACAGGCTGCTTAAGCAGAGGTTTGAATTTGAACAGGGTTCATTTGATTTCTGCACCTCACCGCTTCCTGGCTGACTGCTCAGTATCTGCCAGCGTAGGCATTATGTGATGCTCCGCTTGTCCCCAGAGCTGTCTGTCAAGACAGAGCCTGGGCTGGGAAATGGTTAGACCCCGAATAAATATTAGCAGGGTAGTCTGGACCGTGACTGCTTCCCTCCTACCCTCGCCTTCGCCTGCCTACACACACGCTGCTGCGGCCGCCTCGGCGCAAAGTAATGCCGCAGGAGGAGCTGAGGAGCTTCTCCCCCGTCTACGCACAGCTCCTGAGACATTGTGCTTCTGCTGAGTGACCCTTCCCGGGATGCAGCTCCTGTGTGTGCTGGAGTCAGGCGACACTTTTAACAATAAACCCGCTGAATTACAATTCAGGGAGAATTTACTTGAAAATTTACATAACGTAGCTAGGGGAGACTTTTAACTGCTTCCCCTTGTGCATAAGGGAGAAAAAAAGGAGGAAAATTAAGTAACAGCCTAATTGGCTTTTATAACAGTCTATGGGGAGAAATGCAGGCCCGTTCTCTGCCTAGCTATGAAGGCTGGTATGTGCTGTAACCATGGGAGGCAATATTACAGGCATGACAGGACAATGATTTGGTTTTTCAGCACTGAAGATCTGGAAAATGAAATACCTCCAGCCAGGGGGGTTGTTTTCCGCTTGAGGAAGACCTGTCACGCTGGTTCGGAGGGCTGCAGGTCAGGCTTTTGTTGGAGGGTAAAAAATGGAGGACCTGATCTGCTGGTGCACCACTTCAAATGTGGATCGTGGCGTTGGTATGAGCAGGATCTGCCTCTTCCACCGCCGCACTCATTTTAATCAAGGAGGGGCTTGCAATCAACTGGATAACAGAGAGGATGATGAGGCTAGGGCGGACAAGCTTTCTGCTTTCTGCTCCCGCTACTCCCCTGGGTGCATGGCCCACGCACCCACTCCCCTCCTCCAGAGCCCAAGGAAGATGGCACAGCAATGGACCTGTGCTGGTTCAGTCCCCACTGCCTCAAAATTGCTGCATTTTGGGATAGTATCAACAACAGAGAGCTGCAAGGAAGATACTGATGGTTCATTTTTTATTGAGTTTTGTCTTTAAAAAAAGCACCAGTTAAATCAATGTCAATTACATTAAAACATGCAAGTTTCAGGACTAATCACTTTATCTCACCCTCCCTCATTTCCCAGATACTTCAGGGAGAACTCCATTGATTACCTGTCCTCCTCAGCAGCAACCATTGCCTGAGACCAAGGCCAGGAATGGGAGGGAAATGCTTCTCTGCCATGCTTGAACTGGAGATGCCAGTGGTGAGCCCCAGAGCGACCCCATCACGTGCCAGTGCTTCCCAGCCCCAAGCCATTTACCAGAACTGGGGGAGTGCCAATGGGGTCTCTCACCTCCAAAGGCTCCCTAATGTGTTCCAATTTCCCCCACACCGTGGCTAAATGACTGGTATAAGATGCCATAAGGATAAGCTGGAAGGGGTTTAGAAAGATCTTTCTCTGATCCTCACTTGCCAAAATGACTGAACATGGAAAAATGTTGCCCTTCTGCCTACAGCATAGACGCTGCCCTCTGCCAGCACCGAGAGCCCCGTCGAAGCCTTCTCCTCCCTGCCCAGCAGCGCTGCTCTCCTGCCATCCTGAATCATGGTCCTGACGACGTGCAGGCATCACATCTCCAGGATTTTTATCGAGGTACTCCAGCTTCAATCCACCGTGTCTTATTATATAGGACAAAGCCATTAATCAGCTGTGTGCCCGCTCTCCCCTGCTGCTGCAGACAGCGAATGTGATCGTCTACGAGCCTTGCTGCTACCCGGCTTTCAGTGCACGGCTTCATGGATCCGAGCAGAGGATTTGATCACAGCCGTGGCACCGATCATACGCTGTGTTGGATGTCCTCGGCTGCCATTGAACTCACTGTCTTAGACATGAGGATGGTTCAATAAAAAGGGTGTGTACACATGATCTGATACTGATCGTACAACGCTATTTTTTAGCTTTGATTTCAAAACTAGGCTAGAAAAATTAGACTAAACAGAAAGTAATTTTATATTAAACACCATTATTAGCTTTGTTATCCAATGCAATCAAAACAGTTCCTTCCACATCATTCAGTAATGACGAACTTAATTCCAAATCAGAAATGGAGCTATTGGAAAAAAAAGCAGACAACAGCATTAAGGCTTAACCTGGCAAACTGAGTTGTGTTTAGGACTACCTTTTAAGGATGGGAAGCCAAAGTAAAATACAGGTCCTATTACAGGTATATTTATAGGCCAAGCCAAATCAGCTGTGACTGCAAATCACACCACGTAAACAAGTAGCCACTTAGCACATCGCCTTTGCAATTATTCGATCAATACAACTAAGAGCACTGCCTACAACAAGAATTTAGGAGAGTGAGAGCACTTTTGCATGCAAATACCAGGCTTGTTCTCCTTAAAATCAACCTGTAACAACTGCAAGCAAATGCCTCGACAGGATTTTGTCCTATTTACAGCTGCAGCAATGGTTCAATTTTCAGGCCAATCTCTTTGCCACTCGGTAAGAAGTGATTGAAACCTTTACCTGCAAATGCTGCATCAGTATTTAAGCGGGTGCTTTACTCTTTGCTTTTATAACGTGGAGTTATTTAGGTTCAACACATAGATTAGACACGCAACACAGCGGGACGAAACGGGGGGAGATGCCAGTTGGCTGTGGCCAGCGCCTCCCCCGGTTCCGCCCTGCCAATGTGGCAGCTTGTCTGCTCTGGAGGATGCTCAGGAGCCGCCTCTTCCTCCTCCTCCGCACCCCACCACAGATCTCTGGCAGTGGCACAGGTACCCTCCGCCGGGAGCATGGGGAGCAAGGGGGGACAGGCAGGAGCCGCCCTGCAAGGGGAGGGCATCCCTGTCCCAGATATCCTCTAGCCGGTTGGAAAGGGCTAAGTCAGCCTGCTGTAAGTATTTCTCTTCAACTGTCAGGCTAAGCTATAGTTTTTATAGTTAAATTGTAATTTTCAAATTCCTTTCTTTCCCCCAGTATCATCTCAGCATTGCAAGAGATGCGTCCAGGCAAGCATTCATCTCTCAGGAGCTGATATTTTTTTCACATATGCAATGCTGATGGGAGATAAGTGTGGAGGTAGTTTCCCACCTCAGACTTTTTGACAAGGAAGGAATGAAGCTGTTTTACTCGTCATTTTTCAGCCAAGCTATTAATTCTTTGCCAGTCTCATACCACCATAAATGTGCTGTGCAGTGTGTACAGGCTCATAGCAGGCAGCGCTGGAGGTTCGCACCGTTCATGGGTGACTTCTGCTCTCCTGTTGTGTGCCACCCACTTAACTGGAGCCCCGCTTCTCTGGGGCTGTAGGTGTTGCTTTCTTCCAGTGCTGCTTCTTAGCACCACTTTTCACTGAGGCCCACGGGCATCGCTAGTCTTTGCTAGCCCATAAACAAGCATTAGTTCTGGTTTCTGAGGGTTTCCAAGAGGCAAACTACCAAACCTTTCAGCGTTACCCAGGGATGAGGAAGGAGCACCAGCAGACCGGCAGTTATCCAAAGCCAGCACAGAGGGCTGCGCCAGGCGAGCGGGTGCTACCTTGGGTTGTCGGTGCCCGTTCCCGTTCAGCACCTTCCCAGGTGATGTGCTGGAGTTGCTCCCTTGTGCAGCACGCAGGATGGAAAGCTGATGCCGTCCTGCACTCACCCCTGCTCTTATGTCCCTGACCTGCCCTCCTGTGCTCTGCCTGTACCCATAGAAACTTTGGGAGAATTGAGGTGATGATGGAAAGCATCAGCAGAGTTAAAATGGCATTAAAAATAATACGAATTATCTTTCTATATCTAACTGAAGACACAGGGTCTCTGACTAAAGAAGCTGAGGCGACTGTTGCTACAGACTGGAAAAAAAATTGACTCCAAAGCAATTCTGTTACAAGAGGAAAAGGAACTGAACTGGCAAGCAAAAGTGCTCATGCTGTCCAAGGTTAAGTCACCTCCTCTGCCTGCGGGGCCGAGAAAAACCTGCTTTGGGGAGCTGTCGCCACTCAGTTGCTGCACAGGTTTCCCTCTGCCTTCCTGTGGATGAAAATTAGACTCAACATACAAAACCAGGTAGATGTTGTTCTGACCCAGGCTGGTTTGCAGATGAAAAAACATTCTGCATTCTTTTCATATTTTGTCTTTTTTCCTGGGACACTTCACTGCCAGCTCAGCTGTCTGTGTGGCAGTAGCGGAGGCCTCTCCAGAGGGGAGGGAGAAGATAATATTTTTGTCCTGTATTCTCCTTTTTTTGACCATATGTAGATTAGCCATGGAAAGCTTATACATAGCACTCCATTCAGGAGCGGGGTTATCCCTCGTGTGCCAGACCACCCACCCACCTTGCCCGCGCGCTTTGCTTCCTTCTGCGATGGAGGCCGCGTAGCATTGCGGGCGGAGCGCCAGCATCCCCAGCCCAGAGCCAGCGCTTCCGCGTGTGCAGAGCGTGTACCGTGGGACTAAATCACGTGAACTGTGCCCAAATCCTTATCTGCAAAATAAAGATCCTAATTCCAGACCACGCAGGGAGGAGGAGAGTCCCTCCGCAGAGCCACTTTGAAGCCGTGGCACTCCACAGCAGAGCCCTGCTCTTTGGGATCCCGCACATTTCACAAGTTCCTCGGAGGTCACGACTCCGGCCCTGGTACCTGGATGATTTATGCATCTGACTGGTCTCGAAGTTTCTGGGGGCAGGGGGTAGTCTTCACTATTAATCCAAAGGCATCCTCCCCTTCATTTCTTTAGGCTGCTAATGTTTGTTCTTCAAAGCCCCCCTGTGAAGCCTTCTTTTTATGGTTTTTCTCCTGTTTTGAATCTGATTCCTACATGCTTGTTCCAGATGGTGGGCTTTTAAAGACCTGCGTTATTAACTTCTCTGTGTTTCTTCCTTTTTAAAAAGCCATTTAGTGGGATCTATCTGAATAACACAGAATCGGGAATGCACTACTGCGTGTGCTGCAACACCCCACCGTTCAGGTAACATCCTTTAGATCTCACAGCATCCTTAAAATGTCCTAACTGAGGCAGGAGGGGCAGTGTGTTTTCATGAGCGCAATGGAAAGCGTAGGTCAGAAGAGCAATTCTTTGGTGCCAGAGTGCTACATATGAGATTCCCAGGACACCCGTGGTGATACAGGTACATGGCATGCCCTTTCCTTGAGCGTATGAGGGTCTCCAGTGGCCAGCAGGCAGCAGTTGCTGCCTTAGGGGCTGCCTTTTTCTCCTCCCACGCACACCATCCTTTTTGGCTGATAATAATTCTGTTTAAGAGCTCTCTTAAGCCATAAGTTGCCACAAAATACACATGTATAGGTGTTGAGTATCACTGTATGCTTGCTTTGTTCTTGTGCACTTCCATAGTCATCTTCTGCCACTCGTGCCACTGGGCTAGAGAGACCTTTGGTCTGCCTTAGTCTAGCTGTTGTTTCGTTCTTACCGCTGGGTCCCTTGTACTGGAGCTGAGACCTCCTCTTCATCCCCACTCCTTCTTGTTCCCTAAATTAAATTCCACTATTTTTTCCCTTCTGGTTACATCTACTTTTTAAAACCTGGCTGCGAATGACTGTGCTATTAACCTCTGTGCTCTTCGCGATACTATATATTTTGCAACTTCATTAAAGTCTAAGTAAAAGGAAATAGAGTGCCTCGGAGTAGGATATGCAGAGGGTGTTCTGTTCTCTGTAACTGAACTGGGACAGACAGTTCTTCATAGTTTTGATCCAGGAAATAGCCTTTATATATTCCCAACTGTGAGCTCAATGGAATACGGCTGATATGCCCATTTTTATAAAGACTTTAAAGGATGCATCACAGATCAGAACTTCAAATGGGAAGCTGAGGAACAAGAGGTCTGGATAGTAAGAGGGGAAAAAACATAACAGCTGAATTAAAAATGAACCTAAACTAAGCAATTAAATGGTGAAATCAGAGCCTGGTAGTTGTGAACAGTTAGCTTTCCTTTGGCCAAGTACAGAAAACTAGTGTTATGCAAATGAACATTTGATTAAATGTATGTTTTTCTGTAAAGGTTTGCTAATAAATGCTTTTAAATAAAATTATTTTGGAAGCTAGTGCCGCACTGCAGAATATTCTGAAGACAAATAAAAATACCTCTGGAAAGTTCAGATAAATTAGAGAGATTTTAAATTACTAAGCTGTGAAAGAGTTCCTTCAATTCCTTCAAACGTTCCTCCAGTTTAGACATCCTTCATATTAGACGATAGATTTTGACAGGCCAACATGAAGAGAGAAGAACACTGAAGGGAATTGCTTCTGCTGATAAACTAATAACAAAACACCAATATAACTGGTCATGCTGCCTTTTGCAGTATCCAGCTCCCAGAGAATATAGGTACTTTTGTTTAAAGCATAAAATAATGCTGAGCTTTGCAGACTGATACAGAGAAATAAAAAAACCCAAAACTTACAGAAAAAACAAAAAACCCCAAAACATTTATGAGAATTGAAAATTATCAAATGTGCAAAATGGTCTGAAAATATTTTTTCCATGAATGCACTGTGTTGTGGAGGACACCAACAATGAGGAAAAAAATGGTATTTAATCAGTGATTCATTCACCGTGCTGATTTCCTAGTGCATTAAAAATGTCCTTTCTCAAATGCATTAGATCATCAGCTACAGGTAAACATGAAGCATTTCCTCCTTTCTTTCAAAGTACACGTGTATATACATTTATACCAGAATTTATTACCTTCTGCTACTAAATATTCATTTGAAAGAGTTGGAAATACATGGAACAAAACCCTAACCTTTATAGATAGCAAATTGCAGTGCTTTAATGAAATCTCAAACCTTCAGCAAACCATAAACCTACAGCTGAGATTCATACAGCAAAAAGCGCTTTTTAGAATTATCTGGATTCCATCCAGGATGACTGAAATAGAGATCAAAGTAAATGACATGTGCTGGAGGAATGGTGTGTCGAAGGCTAATCTAATGCATATGTTTAGGGAAAGTCCATTTATCCATAAATTAAGTGGTGAAATACTTCAAAGGACAAATATGATCTTGAACAGCAATATTTTTGGGTACTAAAATGTTTCTATTAGGGAATCTAAGTGATATTACTGTTAGTAAAACCACAGAGAGACCATTTCTGTTGAGAGCCAGTTCAACAGCTCAAAAGATTGATCCCTTAGCAGTGGAAAACATCTACAATAAACTTAAGTATTGTGAGTGGCGTGTAAGGGACGGGCTCAGTCAGGGTCAGATGCAAAACCCAGGCAGCACCGAAGACCTTCCTTGACTGGTTGCAGAGAGGATCCTCGCATCTATGTATGAATAAGCAGAAGGATCCCTGTGTCAGAAAATTAAGAGTTCTGATTGAAATCTTTTGAAAAGAAAAAAAAAAAAGAAACAGCACAGGTGTGTCAGGGCAACTCAGAAGTGGTGCACAGATATTTGTGCTCCCCCAGATCTTTCTTCGGGAAGCTGTGGCCGGTAGGCACAGTATTCGGGTGGCTGCGTAGCAGGGATGGCAGAGGGCCTTCTTTGGCTGGAACAAAATAGGCTTGGAGCCCAAAATACCTCTGCATGCAGACACAGGGCTGCAAACCACATTCACTTCAGTGCAGCCTGCCTCTGCACTGTCTCCTATTTCTCCTCGGTTTTATGGAGGGGAAGGAGGTAGGAGCGCATTTCTCATGGGTCTTTGTGGATTGATGTAATGGACTGAGCAACAGCCCGCACAAAAACTAGCCTTTGGTCAGTCTGTCTCTGCAAATCCTCTTCTGTTTCCACAGTTGCATTGCTCAAAGACACCCCTGTACAGTCAATCATAAAAGGCATGCTAAAGCATGCGCTGTTCTTTGGGTTGGATTTCTTTTTTAAGCTTTTTTCCCTGCTTGTTTGTCTTGTCTTTCTAAAAGGAACCGCAAGTAAGATTTTCAGATTTTTTCTTCACTGTATTAGTATCTCAACCAAACACACACGCTACATATGTTGCTTTAAATTCTATATTGACTAGCGGACTAAGCCCATTGATCACAGCCAAGCTGCTTCTGGTGCTGGTGTCTCCATCCACCACTAGATGCCAGTAAGAGCATTGGGTTTGTGAAACTGGGATAAACAGGGGAAAGGGGGAGGAAACGACTGTGGTGGGGTCTCCAGACCACTGATCCTGGCAGCGTGTGAGTCTGTCTTCATTTCTCGCTCTAACTCACACTAGGTCGCTCTTCACAAGAAGGAAGTACTTCTTGCTATCAAAACTTGCACAACTTTAAATAGGAGGGATTATCTCGTTTCTGTATGCTAAATCCCCAAAATATTTTCTGACCATATTTTCCAGTATGCTCTAGGTTTTAATATGCACAGGGCTGGTAATCCTGGATGTTACGAGGAGGCACCCGCAGGCTGACAGCCTGCAGTACTGTTTCTGATGGCTGTGATTATCTCTTGGGAAAAGTAGATCTTTGTGCTGTGAGGATTTGTCATTGGTTGACTGATGGTCTGAGCAAGGCTCTGTTTAGTTTACCAAACCTTTTGGATGGCTGACTGCAAGCCAAAGCCATCATCAGGCGTGAGCCTGGTCCGGCAGGCCAAGCCCACCATTTTCCATACTTATTTTCCATACTTCATTTCTTCTTGTAAACTCTTCTCGGAGGTTGTGCTATGATGGGCCAGGCTTTGAACTGCAAGTTTGCAGGTGCAATTCAGCTAAACAATGTGCTCAGTTGTTGGAAAAACCTTCTTCAGGCCTTAGAAAATGCCAAGCTATCAGTGAAATAGAAACGGTGAGGCAAAAGCTCCTGTTGTGAGCTGACGGAGAATTCCCTTTGGTGAAGAGCTTCCAGCACAGTTTGATGCCAGTGAGAAAACTTCTACTGTGCCAAATACTATTAATAGTATTACAAGACAAGGATGAGGAAAAAAGCCAACGTTCTTATTAAAAACAGACCTTCTTGTAACATCTCTGTTATTAATTAAGAAGATCTGGTTTCCTCTATTGCTCAGAAAAGAAGTGCAATTCTGGGACTGGATGGCCGTCGCTTTCTGAGGCTTATGGTACTTGTGGCAGAGATGAAATTAATACCAGTATCATGAGATGAACAGATAACTCGTTGGGATCAACTAGAACTTGCAAGCAAGTATATTTATTTTGGAGGTGATAGCCAAAGACCCAAATCTTAACAAGTAAGTTTTCTTTGTGCCCATGAATAAATCTACTTAAATCTAGCAGTGAGCATCATGGAATCACTGGAACTATTCTGTCTCACTTCTTGATATGCAACACGAGTAGATTTCTAAATATCTAATACAGACAGTCGGTTTGGGTGAAGAAAATTATGTGGCTGGGGAGAGTAGCTGTGTAAGTATAGCCAAGAGCTGGAGTTTATATGGAAAATTTATTCAGAGGACCTCAGGTGAACTGCAGTATGTGATCACGGACAGCAGAAGGGACCCTGAGATTTAGTCCACCCATTTGCCCCATCACAGGGACGGTTCTTCCTAATTCAATCCTGCTAAATATTTGCTTAAGCTGTTCTTAAATGTGGGGCGATGGAGACGCCACAGCCTCGCTAGGTAACGAGTTGCAATGTTCGTGTCTTCCTGCTATTGGTTAGACACTGGGGAAAATGCTAAGTTTGCTTTGCAGCAGTTGAATATTTGCCCTGGGAGGTGACGGCGGTGCCCCGCATCTCCACAGCTGTCTTCTATGGGTTCCCTCATTTCACAGAAGCCACCCTTCGGTGGTAGCTATTCCTGTCCTGGTAGTGTTCCTGTCCTTACACCTTTACCTTTTCCCAACCCATGACCCATACTTGTATTGGGACCTGCTGTAATACCCTGGTCCTTTTCTAAAGAACTGCCACCCCTAACCATTTCTTCCCAACCCTGTTCTGTTTATTATGGGGACAATCTTTTTAGCAGGACCAGTTGTGACAGGACAAGGGGTAATGGTTTTAAACTAAAACAGGGTAGATTTAGACTAGATATAAGGAAGAAATTCTTTACAATGAGGGTGGT